AATACTTCTGATGACTACATCATAGTGCAGCCTATGAAGATACTAGAATTTATTAAATGATTCCACAATTTTGTACATTTGGAATATTTCAGAACTGTAAGATATTATATGCTGAAATAAGACAGAGTATGTAATAGTCAATTCATTTTTCTGATTATTTCCTGAGAACAGAAATTAGTTAATCAACAGGCATGAATACTGCATTTCACAGTTTCATATTGCTGTCATAGCCAACTATCACAAATTTAGCAGCTTAAAAAGGCACTCATTTACTATCTCGCAGATCTTTCGGTCACAAGTCTGGCTGGCTCAACAGAGTATTCTGCTTGGGCTCTCTAGGCTCAAATCAAGGTGTTAGTGCCCTAGGCTCCTACTTGGAAGCTAAGGAGAAGAATCATCTTATTGTCTTATTTGAGTTGTTGGAAGAATTCATTTCCTTCACACAGTTTCCACGTGGTCTCCTCCATTTTCAACTCAGCAATGGCAAGTTGAGCCCTTCTTCTGCTTTAAATATTTTTGACTTTAGCTGAAGAAAGTTCTCTGATTTTAAGGGCTTATGTGATTAGATTATTCAGCATAATCTTCCTATTTTAAGATCTGTACTTCAATTCTATCTGCTAAATTCAATTTCCTGACATATTTTTGTGTGCCAGGGATTAGAGTGTGAACATCTCTGGGGAGACTACTACAGGCATTTATGAGGATCTGTATAAGCATGGCCAGAATGAACTCCACATAAGGCTAGCAAAAGAAAGATTTCTGTCACCAGAATGAGTGATTAACTCCTTATAGTCATTAAAACAGAACATTGTCTTTATTTCAGTACTCTGACAAAGCCATTTTTTTAGTTATATTTTAACTTGCCTGTAGTTGATTCATAGTGAGATCTAATTATTTGTAAATATGCATTCACCATTCATTTCTGTATGTGATTTCATGTCTGTTGTCCATTCTTCTATTAGATTCTTGATAGATCTGTATTATCTCTTCAAACATTGAGTATATATTGGTCTGCATTTTGTAGCAGCTATTATCTTTAATTTTTTATTCTTTAATGGATAGAATTATATTTCCTGCTACATAGGTATGTCTAATCATCATTGACTGCCTTTGTGCTTTTTGCCATTGTGCATTACTTTCCAGTGTGTTTTACTTTCCCCGAGGGCTCAGATGGTAAAGAATCCACCTACGGTGCAGGAGACCAGGGTTCGATCCCTGGGTCCAAAAGATCTAGAGAAGGGCATGGCTATTCACTCTATTATTCTTACTTGCCTTGCCTAAAGAATTCCAAGGACAGAGGAGCCTGGTGGGCTACAGTCCACAGTTGTGTCACAAAGAGTTGGTCACAACTGAGTGACTAATACTTACTTTCATATGCAGCTATCAAACAGTTTTCCCTTAAATATCTCCTCATCATGTTTTGACTTTCATAATGACTTTTTTTTCACTTTGGTGTTTGGTGTGAAGAAAAGCTCTAAACTGATTTTATTAAACTAATAATTTGTGCAAAATTTTTTATTGAGAAAAGACAGTCATGAAGATACATGCTATAGAAGCAAAAACTATGCAAACCGCTTCTGTACATGAAGGAAAATACAGAGTCAAGAGAAAATGGCAGGACTTCCAAGCTAGTAAATGAGAATCAAATAAACTAATTTCTCTTGTTTCCTCTATATGTGTCTATAGCAAGGGCTGAGGGATCTAATAAAGCTGACTAGAAGTAGCTGAAAAGGATTTTTGATGTCCTGGGCTTATATAGGCAGTACTAGGTCTCCAAACTAAGATTTAAAGTGACTTAGAAAAAGTTATTTTTAATCAAAGATCTGTATAAAACAAGAACTAGATTAGCATACACTAAATGAAGCTAACTACAAAACAAAAAGACACAATAACAAAAAAGAGAAAGAATTCTCATACTCTCCACATTTGAAAATCTAAACAATTATGACAATTAATTGACCATTCCAATTAATCTCATCCTCATTAAGACAGGAATTGCAAAACATATTTAGGAAAATGAGTAAGCATGCCATAGACTGGGAAATACATTTGCAATCTGACAAAGCACATGTATCTAGAATATATAAAGAATTCTGACAAAAAAACAATAAAAAGACAACCTAATTTTAAACATGAGCAAGGGATTTGAACAGACACTTTACAAAAGAAAACATGAATGGTCATTATATGCATGAAAAGTTTCCCACACTAGTTCAGGGAAATGAAAATGAAAATCACGGTGAGATAACTTTCCACACCTACTTGAAGGGCAGCAAAGTACAAAAGACAATGTCAACTGTTGACAGGGATGTGGAGCAACTAGAACTTGTGTATATTACTGGTGAAAATGAAAATGGTAGAACCACTTTGAAGAATGACTTGGAAGTTGCTTAGAAAGTCAAGCATACATTTAATATATGACCTGTCAGTCCCACTACAAGTTCATTTCTACCCAGTCCTCAGCACTCCTATGTTGCTTTCCCTTCTCCCAAATATTTCATATCTTTCTTTAGCTATTTTCATCTTTCTTCTATTCCCTCTTTTTCCATCCCAGATGAATTCTTCATTAATTCACCATTAAGAGAGTCATTTCATCCACATTCATTCTAGGATGATACAAAACAAGCATGATTTCAAATTAGTTGTGTATTTTGCCAGAATAAGACGGCAACTATTTTTAAAAGCTATAAATACAAGTTTTATGTCAGAGTAACAATAAAAATGGAACATATACCAATATAAAAGAGACAATATTAAGATTTAAAATGTTTTCATTTATAAATAATATTTTTCATGCCTTCAACAACAGAAAGAAAATTACATCATAGTCATTTGAAAAGTTCATTTATTATATACCAATATACACTTTCTATAATAAAAAAAGCCTCCCTATATATTGAACCATCTTATAAATGAAATAAGAAAATAAAATTTTCATCTGTTTATAAATGGGGCTAAATTAACCAGTACAATATACCATATGTATGCCTGTCCTGCAGTCTGTGTGAACTCTAATCCTGAAAATGACCACGAGAATAAATGACGCTTTATTATTTGGCACTGTAGTATTGCTCTTGAATATTTATATAATTTTGCATGTTGATACTTTCAAGTGAGTCATTTCAAATGTAAAGCATTCAAAATATATACAGATTTTACAGCTTTTCAGTTTTTTGGATCAATCCATTGTATTTACATTTAAATACAATCAGATCAAACATTTTTAACACTCAGAAGGCACCTTTTTTTTCATTTTCTATTTTGATACTCTCTTTAGATGAATTGAAAATAGAAATATATCTTAAAAATGCTATTTGGTAAATAATAGTCAGAAGTCATGATAGTTTCTAGTAATGCTCAATTTCCCTAACAAAGTGCACCATTTTACAATATTATGCCTCTAGAGAATAATACATAAAACAAATATATATTTATGTAAGGCACATTGCAGCAAAAACTATTGAAATATGATTTATATTATCATACTTACATAACATCTGTATTTCATACTAGGCTATACTAAAATATACAACAAATGTGCTTGCTACTGATTGAGGAAAAAAGGAGCAAACTCTAGAAATTCTAGGCAGTGAGTACTAATTTTTAAATCCATTTCATGTAACTATGTTGTAAAAGTGAGCAAGAATAATAATTTGCATTTCTTTGTAGTGTTAGCACTTTTATTTTCATAGAGAATAGCTCAACACTGTATTAAACGGCAAACCTATGTTAGCAAACACCTGTTCAAGCTAAAATGAACTAAATCCTATTTTAGACCTTCTAAATTAAAAGAACTACCTTAGTATTGATAATTATTTGCAAATAGGGAACTTATTTTCTTGTAGGTGATTATGGTAATATTGTAAACACTGAAGAAGAGCATTACCAAACTATTCAATATATCACTCAGGTTTCAAATTTAAAATATGCCCAATAGACAGATACATACATGTGGATTTTTGAGCCTATCAACTCAATTCCCTACCCCCACCCCCAATAACATAAATGTTTGACTGTGAAGAGAGAAAACTACACATGTAAAAAATAAAAATCAAATGTACCATAAATTAAAATTCTGATAACTACAGAAAAAGATTATATACATAAACATAAAGCAATCACAGTTTCCTGCACTGAATGTTTATCAAATAAAAATGTATTAAACAATACTGGGTAGTGTAGCTCCACATGAATAGTGGTATTCTAAAAATTCTGAACGAAAATGGAAGACGAGAGGGAGGGCATTGTTCAGTGACAAAAGTATGACAAGAGGCCTGGGAATAATATTAATAAACAAATGCTTCCAGAACATTCCGTATAGCCATAAGCATTGTTTTGCTGGTGCTCTATAATTTCAATAAAGCCCCTCTCTGTGTTTCATTAGATGTTTTAATATTTACAGAAGAACAGTTGAATGAAGAAGTCACTAATTCAATGTCACAAGTAGGACGGCAAAATTTTCCTTTAGTGTTGAGCATAAGATGCTCCAGCCTGGTGTCTGATCACTCATGTAACTTGCAGAGACAGTTCATAATACATGTCTTTTGCCTCTGTCATTAAATAGACCCGGAGTATTTGGTGCAAGATTGAGGGAAGGCATTAAGTGGCATTAGCTTTGCCATCAGGGCATTTTTGCTTGATATTCTGAGAATACAGAAATTTGGTACTTTGGGGGGGAGAGGGAAAAGGGTATTATTTGGTGATCGTTACATGCAGCTACCCTTATTTTGCACACGCAGAAGCAAAAATACATCATCACACACTGCTCTAGTAAAACCTGGGTGGAAGTGTGCACCACAGATTTTAAACATATAAACAGCCATTTGTGACAAAAATGATGATCTTCTCTTCTGTAGGTGCTTGGTAATATTGCTGGTAAACATCTGTGGAATCTCCCTGTTATTTCCTAGGACTAACATTCCAAACAAGATAACTAAAATGTCTTTGGGAGCATAACTGGTAACCATCTCTAACAGGAAAAGATAGTATTTTTCCTTGGGTTAATGATGCTTGGAATTTGGGGGATTGTAAATCCAGTCAATTATAATGAGTGCCATGCTTCCCATCATGAAGATGATGCCAACCACGAGGAAAACTAAAGCCTGTAAGTCAGAAAGAACTTGTTAGGGAACACAGAAATTATATTTCTTTAGTACAGTTTGCTTTTATAAGTCATTTACTTAAGACAGCCATTCGATTTGCATATTGAATTGTATTATTCTTACAGCTGCCCATGCCTAGCAGTTAATCGATTTAGAACCCTACCTGGGGAAAGAGGAAAGGAATATGATAGGAGACAGATTTAACCCAAATGTTCAATATAGAAAAATGGTTAATTGATTTGGTACATAAAATAATGGAATACCCTATAATCCTTACAAATCAAGTAATAGAAAAAGATTAAATGACTTACAGAGTACTCACAATCTTTCAGGTGAAAGGGGGCAGGTTATAAAAGAATAGCATGCATGATGTGATTAAATTTTTTTTAAAGCAAACAAAAACAAAACCTAGTGGCACCAGTGGTAAAGAACCCCTGCCAATTCGGGAGACATAATATGAAATGCAGGTCTGATCTCTGGGTCAAGATCCTCTGGAGGAGGGCATGGCAACCCACCGCAGTATTCTTGCCTGGAGAATCCCCAGAGGACAGAGAAGCATGGCAGGCTACAGTCCATGGGGTCACAAAGAGTCAGACATGACTAAAGAGGCTAAGCACGCACACAATATAATGTATATTACATATTTCTTGGAAAAGTATACGTGTCTGTATTAATATGTTATTACATATACATATATGTCTATACTGTAATATACCTATAATTACATAAACATATAAATATTTCACAATTTTAACACTAAAAGCAGCCTTATAGACTACCACATAGATTGACTTCCTAATTCTACATAAGAAGAAACAGCGACTGAAGTCTTTTTTCACCAAGAAGAATCTAGGATATAATTTTACTCATTTTTACATCCAGTCAAACAGAAAAAAAGTGATTTACCAAGGTCACAGTGCTATAAAAGTTGAAGCAGAATGGACTATAGAGTGGGAATCTGGGGGCAAGACGATTAGAGGAGCTTTTGATACCAAAGTTTCCTAAAGTCCCCAAACCATCCTGAGAGGAGAATGACTCACAGGCAAAATTCAGGTTCAGTCAGTCAGAGGCACTTTTCAAGCCTTAATACAAGACTTTATTAAGCAGTCATAGATAATATTTGATATTGAAGAACAACTATTTCTAGTATACATTTTTGTAGTAGTATTATGGGAAAGAAATATTTACTCCCCAGGTTGATAGGACTATAAATTATATGGAAAGAGACTAACTGAACAACAGATGGTTCTATTCTTAGTCCACAGGGGATAACAAGGTACTGAGGAGGGGAAAACAAAAGCAACATTTTTTGGCCTCACAAACCTAATGACTGTGACCAAAATGTTAATATTTTTTCATAAGGCTGCTAAGGAGCCTAATTCCTTCCTGCAGTTTCCTGTGGATAGTGCAACAATAGCTTGGTGGTAGAAACTGTTATAAATGTATGCCTGTGGGCAAACTCCATTAGCATTTGACCGGTAGGAAGGACTTAGCACAAGCTATTTCATATGTGAAGAAAAGAAATCCCAGAATCATCTCAGTGCTAGAAATCTACACCTCCTTTTTTTCCACCAGAGCTCTAGCCATCTTTGATTTTCGGTTCTTGTGCATCAATTCAGTTTTTGGAACATGTGCATGCATTTCCTGGTTTACTTTAAGTAGTGGAAACTTAAAGGGAGAGATGGTAAACCTTACTTACCCCGACTTTTTGGGGTGACCTAAGAGGTTCTTTCTTGACAAGTTTAAGATAGAAAACTGCTGGAAGGATGAAGATCAGCATAGTGGCAGAAGAAGCCCCTGAGGAGAGACACGGGACAAGTCAGTCTTACTCAGCAGGCAGAGAAACAAGGGCACACACTCAAAAGAAACCAAGTCTAAAACTGCCCTTAGCAAAGCACAAAAAGCACTATAAGCTCACGGTTTGTTGTTCAGTCACTTAGCCGTGTCCAACTCCTTTGTGACCCCAGGGACTGCAGCATGCCAGGCTTCCCTGTCCCTCACTATCTCCCAGAGTTTACTCAAACTCATGTCCATTGAATTAATGATGCCACCCAACCATCTCATCCTCTGTCACCCTTTTCTCCTGCCCTCAATCTTTCCCAGCTTGAGGGTCTTTTCCAATGAGTTGGCTCTTCGAATCAAGTGACTGAAGTATTAGCCCGTGGATGTTTATTCAAAACAAAATATATTTATAAATAAAATTAAAATGCACCTAACATCATAGCTGCCTAGTAAATATACATCACACATGATAAACAACAAAAAGGCCGAGTGTTATAGATTTATAGGAAATTAGTAATATAAACACATACTAAGGAAGCTGAACTCCTCACACACCCTTCCAATCCACTTCTAACTTTTCAAGTTGTTTTCACCTATGTTTTTAAAGTTTCATATTGTACTTAAAATGTGAGCAAACCCTCAAATCAGCAGAATGGAAAATTAAATATATTAATGGGTCACCCAGTTAAGAGAAATAATATGTTTTACAAAGTCAATCTCTTCTTTCTCCAAAGACATCCCTTAATGCTCAGCTGATACTCACAGACCATTTAAGTAGAATCTACCTTCTTTCCTCTTTTTTTTCCTGATGCAGAGTTAAGCCCTCAGTCCAAATCCTGGGTTCACTCTAACATATGGTTTGACTTCTACAGGGCTAAGTTGCATTGTTTGTCAGAAAAGGCAGCTAGATTAGATGCCTATAAAGTAGGTTTTAGCACCAACATTTTCTGGTCCTGTCCATAAAGTCCAGTGTCACCTGAAAGGAAGGGATGGTGACCAACTGGAGTCCAGTTGGACTACTAGGAATTCTGGGAGCCTGAGACGGACTGGGATCCTTGACCTCCCATCACTGGCTCCCTGCTCTCCATTTATGGACAGCTCGAGTTGACTAAATAAAAGCCTTTTGGAAACTTACCTATGAATCCAAAGATGTATTTTATAGTTGGCACAAGGATGACCAAAACATTATTAAGAGCAATAATTATGGCTGCAATCAGGAAATGCCTTATCCAGCTGAATGGTCTTTTGGGAAATAACAGTGTGGTCACTGATGTGCGAATCTGCAACAGGAGAGTTCAAAGGCAAGGTCAGTGCTTTGTGTTGTTTTTTTATTGAAAGTTCATTTACAATGTTATGTTAGTTTCAAGTACCCAGCAAATTGATTCAATTATACATATATATTTTACGTATTTTTACATGTACATGTATATTACATATATTTATACATATACATCTTCAATTATACATATAATTATACATATTTATATATATTCTCTTATATATATATATTCTCTTTCAGATTCTTTTCCATTATAGATTTATTACAAGATATTGACTGTAGCTTCCTCTGCCACACAGTAGGTCCTTGTTAGTTATCTATTTTACATACAGCAGTGTGTATATGTTAATCCCAAACACCTAATGTATTTCCCCTCCCACTCCCACTGTCCCCTTTGGGTCACTGCTTTGTTTTCATCTACTTTTCAAATATTCTCATCCCTCTAAAAGCATTTTCTTTGTTTTTCTTTTCCCCCAGAAAAGATCTTGATGCTGATATTTTTCCAAAAACGTAAAAAATTGTGGTAAAGTACAAATAACATAAAATATATCATCTTAACCATTTTTAAGTCTCCAGTTCAGTGGTATTGGGTGCACTAATATTGTTGTATAAGTTTGATGCTGATTTTTGATGTTTGGGAGGGAGTCACTTTTCCTTGGCGATCTATCTTGTGCTTACTTTCTCAGTTTTCAGAATTTTTTTTTTTGAAAACAATCACAGTCAGAAAGAGATAAAAGAACATATAAGATATATAATTCAGAGACACAAAAAAACCCCTGTTGATTTCTAATTATGTCTCATCAGCCCGGATTAAGGGCAAGCACTGAATTTATTTGCATATGATTGTGAGCAGAACTTTTACCAACCTGGCATCTCTTAAATTCACACTTTATTTAACATTTTTACCACCTGGTATTTTAAGAAACATGATACTTTTCGTGTTTACTTCTTTCTTTTCACCCCATCACCTCTCCCCTGCCCCAGTATAGCTTATAAATGCACAGAAGGCAAAGAACAAGACCTAACAATCTTAACATTCCTGAGTTTCTATCTTAGTGTCTCACATGCAGAAGGCACCAATAATGATGAATTGAACAGAACAACTCTTTCCCCTCCCTTCAGGATTCTTATGAGATTTCAGTCCTATTGCCGCAGCTGAAATAAGTAGGTGAAGGGTCAGGGAGGCTCCAAATGTAGCAGGGGCTCAAATTACCCTGATGTAACTGGATGAAAAGATCCTCCTGAGCAGAGGGAAGGAGGGCCTTTTTTGTTTGTACAGCTTAACAAAGTTGAAAATATTCTTATCTTTGGAATCTTTTAGAAGACACTTTTGGACTTAGTGGGATTAGTTTATTGGCTTTTCAATAAATGAGCACTTCAGTTAAGCTAGGACTTCTTATTTTTAGAAATGTGAAATTGATTTTCACTTTAAACTTTGGCTTCTGAAGTCTCTTAATAGTGTGAAGATTGGAATTCACTGAAAACAGAGAAAAGTAAAATATATTTTGAAACACATATACAAATAACAAAAACTTTCAGTTGAACTGCCTCAGTGTCAAATGTAACATTCTTTCATGCCAGTCCACCAAAAATTAAAGCCATCTGTTTAGGTTTAAAAGGCAGTTTCATTTCCAGAATGGCAAATCTGTATAGTCTCTGGAAACAGTTTAAGAGTGAGTTTGTAATGGATTTTAAAAATTGGATGAGTGAAAATTACACAACTCTGAAAAGTAAACTGAGGAAAACAAAAGGTTTGACTTTGTTTTTCCCAATAGTTTATTAATTCTACATTATGTCTGACAATTAGTGCTTATTCGATGCTGTCCACACATAACATGCTTAAAATAAGCTTTCTGTGGTTTTAAGGATTTATTTGTCTGAAAGTGATAAAGTTATAGCATAAACAAGTAGAATACAGGTTATTTTCAGGCAGGGGGTCACATGTTTGTGCTTTTTAGTCCTTTGTTGTAATAATGCCTTTAATTGTTTAAGCTGAGTTAGAGGTACTGGGTGTCTGAATGTAAATAAATACAGTTTCCTAAGATCTCATGGCTCTCAGAAACATTACAATTTGGCTTAATGATGTAAGAGTACAGAAATTTTATAAGAATAATGGTTGAAGTAAATGGTGAAAGCTTGTGCTTCAGAATTAACAAGGAATAACAAAATCCCAAAAAGAACTGAAGGTGTAGAGAGTTGCCCATGTATTCCTAAAATGGGCAGCAGGGCAAAGAGAAAGATGGGAGATTGCTGGTGGTGGTAGATGGTGGAAAAAAATAGAATGAAACTTGCTAGTCATTCCACATAAAAACACTGCCTTGTGGGGTGAGCCTGGGATCTTGAGGTCCCCAGCAGCTCTATTTACCTATGTCAGGACAGAGGTGACTCTGGCTTATTACTGACTTACCTCAGTGTCCTTTTCTCTACTGACACAACTGATAAGAACCTGGAAATGTGGATCTGATACTGTGGGGATGAAAGTCCCCCAGAGTGATTCCAGACCATTTCCATGCAGCTCTAGAGAAAACATGTTATTTCCAGATTTAATGTTCCAAACAGGAGCCTATTAGGAGGTACTGTGTTCTAATACGGGGGCCCAATGGGAAAGTCAGAAATGTGGAGGCCAACTGGAAAGTGGGAGCCTTCATTCTCAACTCTAAAAAAAAAAAGAAAATCCATTCTATTGCTTACAAGTGAATCACACTTCATTTGCAGGATTGTGTAGGACAGAGAGTGTAGGAAATACCAATGGTCAATGTGCTATTCCAGACATAGAAACATCTGCCATATTTCTATGCCTACACCCATATTCACTTCAAAACAGGAAATCTGAAGGCAACACAAGTGAAAAGAATGGTTTTACTAAAATAAAATGAAATAGAAGTAGCTAGCCAGTGTTCATGCCTGGAGAATCCCAGGGACGGGGGAGCCTGGTGGGCTGCCGTCTATAGGGTCACACAGAGTCGGACACGACTGAAGCGACTTAGCAGCAGCAGCAGAGGATCCGAGACATAATCTCTCTTTTTTCTTAAAGAGAAAAAGGTGCAGTGAGTAGAATTTGAGTCTTTGTGTTTTTTAGGTTTTTCATGAAAATCTGTGCATTTTCTGCATAAAGAAAAGCACAAGCTGAAGATATCATTTCCATAATAGACACCCCAGCCCCATATCACCTTCTCCAGCTAAGAAAGAAAAAATGTTGAGCAGCTTGTAGAAAAACTAGCCTTAATTTTCTTTATTTGTTCAATAAACACTTTGTGCCTTTTCTAAGAAGGAAATGCTGTCTGGAAAAAAGAAAGATAATAAATGGAGAGGTAAAAGGAAAACCCAACCACCACTGACAACAAAACCCTCCTTGGGCTCCTAAGAAAAATGACCAACATACTTGTTGAAAAATGGAGAATACCAAAAATACCTAAAACTGATAGATTTTAATCCAGATTAAACCTAATCCATTTTAGGTTTTGCTTGTTTTATTATTTATGTGTAGGGATATCAAAACAAAGTAAATAAGCTTATTGGTCAAGAGTTTCTTAATTCAAAGAAACTCATCAGGAGAAGCATGCTATTTGACTCAGCATGCGACACATGGAAAATTTTGATTTGAAATTGGAAGAAACAAAGAAATGCAGCATAACCAATTTCTATCATTTTGGGAGAGAAGTGACTAAAATGCAGCCTGCAGGTATTTGACTGGGACAAGGAGGCCAAACCCACTTTTATGTCATCCATCAAAACATGGCGGCTTGGTTCAGGTAGCCAAGATCCTCATTCAAACTGAAGTTCATGGCAGATGCTGGCAAGGGGAAGAGTCTATGTCTTTTTTGCTAGAAAAAGCAGTTCATACAACTTAAGAAAAGGCAAGCTTCATCTGGAGATCGTCTTCCTTAGCAAACATGGTTGAGCTCATCCTATGCCGATCACTGTGCACACCCCTAACCTCTAGGGGGAAATGTGGACAATTATATAGACCATCTCAATGTAACACTGTAAGGGTGAGGCAGATTTACAAACAAAATGTTTCACAACTGCTAATGGTGAATGAAAATACATATTGAAGGATAGCAGTTAGTTATGCTTTCTGAAATTTGGTTCTAATGGTCAATTTTGGTTTTAATGGGCATTGGATGGGAAATGCTTCCAGACCACAATGGGAGATATATCTAATGGGAAATGTGTTGCCATTCTTGATGGTCAGATTTATGCCAATGTCTCATCTGTTATACAGGCGAAGAATTTCTATGGTCTATCTGGATTGTGAATGTCAAGGTGAAATGATCATCACCAAATGAAAGGCTAACTTCTACTTCCCATGATTATGACTGTAGCCATCAACATCACCTGTGAGCAATGCATTAGCTCAACTGTTACCAGCTAGCTGGGTAACCCAACAAAGTCCATTAACCTCCCGAGACCTCGGCTTGAAAGCACCACATTTAGGGCTTATGAATAAAAAGTAAAAAACAATGCAGAAGCACATAACAGATTTCTTTTATGAAATGCTTTGATTCAACAATGATATGAGCGCCCACTGTGTGCCAAAATTTGATCAGTAATATCTTTACACACAAAAAGAAGGGTTCCAGATATTCTTTTCTTGGCAATGCTGTTTGCTTGGAAATTTTACCCTATGGTACAGTTTCTGTCTACAGCTGTCTTCTGCCTTATACCTACAATGGAGTTGATTTTAGGCTAAAGCTGTGTGCATGACATTTGAAATTCTTTCAGATAAATGAGGGATAAGACATTATTTAAAAGTAAACTCTTAGCTGCCGTTGTAATAAAGATCTGATTTCATGCACTCATGAAAAAGGAATGTGCCAACAAATATTTCAGCACACAAACTGCATTTAAAGTGATCACAGTGTCATTATATGACTAGTCCTCATCTGTTTGGCCCTGTATGGAACATTTTGTACGGGACAGTGCTGACTACTGTGCTGCTAATTTTCCCCCTAAAATGAACGGTAAATTCAGTGTTTATGAAAGGAAGGAGAGTTGGCAGGAAAGTGCAGACTTATGTTTCTCCATAGGTAGTGGTTTTAACTTGTAACTCAAGTCTCCACAACCTGCCCTGCTCTATGATCCCATAACAACTGACCCCAACGGGAAATGCCATGAAGGGACTGTCCCAATACCAGTCTGGCAAGAGGGTATACGTCAGTCTTAGAAGCAGCAGAAGGGATATATGATGGATGATACGACTATTTTTTTAAAGGAAATTTGGTTGTAGTGTGTCATTTACTTAACATGAATCTCCTTCTCATTCACCTTCAAGAATCAGATTAAATAGGGTGACTTTTGAATGTTAAGGTAGCATAATAGCACTAGGAGGAAAAAAATGAAATACCTTCAGAACTGTGGTGAAAATACAATATAATCTGAAAGTGAGTGTGTTTATGAATTACTACTCATTTCTACTAATCTATAAGAGAGAAGCTCAAGATCTCTTTCTTAAAATTTTAGTTTAAAAATAAATTTCAATCTCAATAAAACCACAAAACAAATAAATACATAGAAATAAATTTGGTGATTTTTTTCCCCTACATTTGAAAAATACTTAGCATTTAAAAATACTTGCTCTATGGAATTCCCTGGCAGTCCAATGATGAGGTCTCTGTGCTTTCACTGCCAGAGATATGGGCTTGATTCCTGGTCAATGAACTAAAATCTGGCAAGCTGGGTGGCTTGGCCAAACTTTTTTTTAACTTTTAATAAGTAAAAAATAATAAAAAATAAAAATACTTGCTGTATCTACATATTACATAGTCAGTAGGTTCAAAATGCTATATAAAATATAACATTCTCAGGATTTGCATTTTAATTAAATCAGCATCAAGTCAGAGCATATGTACTAATCTGTGGATTCTTTGAGCAAAGCCAGGTACTTACAGGGAATAGCACTATGGGCACGGTCAGTGTCACCGCCACAAGGACAGCCAGGCGCACCATGAGAAGAGGGGTGTCAAACGTGTACACTTTGCTGTAAGCATGAAGCAGTTCATCTTCAACTTCTCCTGCAAAGCGGAAGAGGAGAATGAGTTCACTGGTGGAGTCACATCGGCACTGCTCACCTATGACAACGTTTTATAGGAAGAACACGGTATAGTAGGAAGAACTCAGATCTGAGAATCCAGACACCTCTGCTTGTAAAGTTGCAGGATTTAATATAAAATTGTTAAGGCTCTTCTCTGGGTCACTGATATTGTGATAAATCTCTCTGCTTTACAGAAGCATCACAGAACAGGACAGGCTGAGGTCTTCTGGTTGAAAGGGATGAAAGGACTAAGCCTTATCAGACTGTCCCTCACATCTTGCCATCTCCTTCCACTCCCACCTACCTAGAAAGCCCTGATGCAGCTTCTCCAAACCCAGTACGGAAACCCTAGGACAAATGATCTGTAACACTTTTCAAGCTCAACAGTTATGACCCCATCATGACTTTGACAGACATATTCTTGGACTTTGTCAAGTTTTTGTTTGTCTCACTGAGTTGAGACTCATGAGACTAAGTAATTGCAAGGAAATCAAACTAGTCCATCCTAAAGGAATTCAGTCCTGAATAGTCATTGGAAAGACTGATGCTGAAGTTGAAACTCCAATACTTTGGCCACCTGATGTGAAGAACTGACTCATTGGAAAAGACCCTGATACTGGGAATGATTGAAGGCAGGAGGAGGAGGGGACAACAGAGGATGAGATGGCTGGATGGCATCACTGGCTTGATGGACATGAGTTTGAGCAAGCTCTGGTAGTTGGTGATAGGGAAGCCTGGTGTGCTGCAGTCCACGGGGTGACAAAGAGTCGGACACCACTGAGCAACTGAACTGAACTGAGACTATGTAACAATGCAAAGATGAAGTAGTATGATTGCTATAGAATCTTTCAACAATACTGCTCTAAGTTTAAGATGCTGCCCTCCTGGAAAACACATTTTGTTCAGAATTCCAGGCACACATGATAAGGAAATACTCATAGAATCAGATGTACTCTGATTTTCCTGCTCCACCCCTCGAAATCAAAGGAGGATAAAAATACCATCAATGACATTGTCCTGACTTTCATTAATTTACAACCAGCAGAGTTAATGCCCAATCTAAACCAGAACTTGATTAAAAACCAAATATTAGTCAAAAAGAAAAAAACCCAAGCAAATGGTGCCCTCTCCAGCCTCTTCCTCCCCAACTTGTCTTGCAATCAATTTAATTTACTGAGTCAGTCAGGAAAAAAATGCAAAACATTAGAAAGTTTTATTTTTAAAATATATGTAAGTTGATAACATTGATTAATATCAATGTTTGATTCCCTGAAATTCATCTCTAGGGCCATGCTTCAGGGAAGAGAAGAACAATCCTGCTCCTTTTGTGTCCACAGAGGAAATATTTTCAGCATAATCTAATGTGACCAGAGTCACTTTGTTTTTTGATAGTATGTCCCCAGATTGAAAGGAATTCTGTCATGTCCTCTTCACTTTGAAACCAGTCACTATAATAGAATAGAATGAAACTAGCCAGAAAATTTGTCTAATGCTCCAGGCCTCCAGATTTGACTTGACTGGTACACAAGAAGCAGGTTCCAACTCAAGGACTTTGTACTTTTTCTGCCATTTGTTTGTTAATTAGTTATTCTACCAACAGAGCTTTACAACATAGAGCTGAAATATCCTTTATCCCTTAAGAAAAGGAATTACTATTGAGAGGTTTTTTTAATAAAATATGAGGGAATTCACAAATTACTGTAAACTGTTAGGCAGCCTAATTCAATTTTTCTTAAGTCATTTTCTTAGGTCAAATGAGGAGGCTAAAATAGCATGCTAATTGAGTATGTGTATCTATAGATCATGCTGTTTATTGAGAGTAATTAAAAGAATTATACCTACCAGGTTAATGATCTGTCCAACTAGGATTTGCACAAAGAGAATGACTTTGACAGAGTGACCTACCATAAAAGGTTAGGTAACCAAAGAGGGCAGCAAGCAGATACATGACGAGCATCCCCGTGATGGAGACATTCGACACTGTTTGCATCTTCTTCCGGGACCGACTAAAAAAGATAAAGGACATTGAGCTTTGATTTTCTGAACTGATGAAAATACTACCTTTTGCAATTTAAAAGCTAAGAAAATAATATATGTCTGTGTTGCTCATTATAAAACCACATTTTGAGTGCAGAAACATCACTTATTTAAAATATGCCTTCGAGAATTATGGAGCATTTGCTTCCATTTTTCTTAAATGCTACTTCTTCAGTCTTAGAAATAACTATTTTCCTAGAAAAGGATCAGTTTATTTTATGTTGATAAGTATGCTTGTCTATTGCATGTATGAAAGTGTAATTGACACAAAGGTTAAACTGGCTTCTAATGCAGAAAGCCTTCATACTTCACAGTGAGATTTGAAGACAAGAATTCACTAGAATCAACAAAACACTCCTTCTAGGAGTTCAGACTACCTGAAAGCTTGGTATTTTTACCTGGACAGCTTCTGGAAACCATTCTGGAGGCACCTGGCTGCTTAAACCATCATCAGGCCTCTAGGGTAATTGCTATCACTTCCCCATCTTTCAGCTAAGATTAAGTGTAGATGAACTGCTACATAGGACTTTTCGCGTAAATCAAATGGAAGTGCTCTAAAAGTTTTTTCAAGAAGTAAATCTGAATATATGGGCCAAGTTATTTTTGTTTAGTGAGAACTGAGTATTGAAGTCTGGGTAAAAAAGATGAGAATTATTATATGACACCCTCCTCGCAGGGTAAAATAAGAAGCTGCTTAGCCAGGCCATCCTAACCATAATTTTTGGTCTGCATGGGTGTGGGTCATTTCGAGCTCAAGTGACATCTTCTTCCCACCAATTTCAAATTCAAATTCCCCATGCCTGCCAAAATCCTTGCAGACATGGGCTCCTCCTCCCCCTGGACCCCTCACCTGGATCATTAGGATGAAGGAGTAGGAGAAAAGAAAGTAGTGAAGGGGCTGCTTCACACCTTTGTGGTTAAAGCACGTTACTGATGAGTGGGTTACAGCATAAACTTTCTGTAAAGGCAAAGCTATAAACTATGCTTCTATATAAAGCACCTTTGAACATATGAGCACATTTTCAAAGCAGGTTTAAATGTTAAAATGATGGCTGCCTTACTCTTTAAGTTCACTGTAGATAGGAAGGACCTCAGGGTGGCATACAAAAGCAAATGCTAGGATGGGAATTGCATAGGCCGTCTGAAAAACAAAGATAACACCTCATATTTAGCATTCCAACAGAGAGGGCTACCTCAGGCCATCTCAGCTTCTGAAATAAAAATTCAGAGACCCCATCGCTAGGCTCTTAGAGGGGGGCTCTCACATACCCTGGAGTTGAAGACAAAGTATTTGGGCTGACACTTGTCATCACTGTGTGCTTCAAACTCTACTCCACTGCCATGGAGAGAGCCCTTGGCCTGGTTCTCGTCAAGTCCTGCAGCATTCTGGTGGGTGTAATCCATCATGAAGTTCACACCACTACTCTCGGAGTTGTTGAGTAACATCACCACGTGCATTGGAACTGTATTGTTGAATGTCAGATTCCCAACACTGTGATCCAGAATAGGCAGAGGACAGGGTATTTGGAATTTCTTGTAAATCACCTAGACCAGATCATTAACAACAACAACAACAACAACAACAACAAAGAGTCAGCCCTTTGAGGGAAACAATGAAACAAAAATCCATATGGTTGGTTTATGGGGTAAACATGAGGGAACTCTGCTGAAGATTCCTCTTAGACTAGTGGATGATGGAGACTCCCTATAGCCTCTGTTCAAAGGAAGGAGCTGGAGCTATGGTTGGAGTTGGAGCTATGGTTGGCAACAAGACAGTATTTTGTGTGAATCCACCCTAAGCTTCATGCATACTCTATGAGAAAGATGATCATTTTCTTGCTGCATTTCATCTTTCATTTCTTCAAACTAATGAAAATAGTCATCAGAAACTCTTCCTTCCTCCTTTGCCTCTTTGGAGAAATGCTATATAAATGTTGGCATTCATGATATTCGCCGAAATTCCTCCTTTTAGAGGGGAGAGGAATAGGGTGGGAAAGGATTTCTTTAATTCCCCTGTGGTCACCTTCTCTTCATGGGTAGAATGAGTAAGAGAAAATGGCTGATTCATGCAAATATGGATAATTCTAGAGTCTATTCGTTTATTTTCTGGGTCTCTTCACTTCTTCTTCCTCCACCTTTTTAAAACCTGAGTTATTGTCACGTTCCTGCTGAAGTGTTCCTTTTGTCCAACTATAACATCTAGTATGCCTAGAACAAACTGTTAGCAATGGCCTTGACATTCTAACTCCACTATATTTGAACTCATGACTATTCTTCTCTCATTCCAAGTGAGAATACAAGAAAATTCCTTGTGATGCAAGAACTATTTCATGCTAATGATGTGCTTGAACAAAAATTAGGACACCATTTCAGGCACTGAAAGCATCACATGCCTACCAAGTTACAAGGATCATGTCAAAAATCACTTACCACACTGACAAAAAACACCATGCAAGTAAGAGAAAATCCGCTGGTATAACCAAGGTAACCTAAGAGTTAGGAAATTCCAGAAGGTGAATATGGCATCCACAATCAGCTTACCTCTTAGAATATGAAATGAAAATCAAAATGGAAAATGACTTTACCTAAATTTTTAAGGAGAGAAAGTGGAAGAATTATTCCAACAGACACAAATATGATGAGGTAGTTGCCGTTGAGATACCATTCTCTGGAAAAGAAAGACCAGAATATTAGGATCAGAAAAGACCAAGTAAAGTGAGTCTATTGATGTTACAGAGAAAACAGAAGACATACCCAGTATTTTCTTCAAGTCCCATGAATGCTCTGATTACTTCAGGTAGTTCATATTTAATGATAAAGAGGTAGCTTGACATGGCTAAAATGGAAAATGTGACAGCTTAGTCGTGTTCATGGCACCAGCGTCACAGGCAAGTTGTGAGAAGTCCAGGCACTGGGGACATCCCAACTTCTCAGTAATTCCCAAACCGAAAGAAAAGCCACCCACTGCATATTCTGTATGCCTTCCAAGTTCTTCTCATAAATGGATATTGGGCCCTTTGACTCTTCCCGATGGACGTTTGCTGACAGTATTAATGCTGATTCTGTGTTAAATCCAGCTCTGAGGTTTTCAGTGAAGCCTCAACTTTGAAGCATTCCTGTTAGTAGTCATCACGGCCTTACTTGTGTGCCTGTTTGTATCTAAAACTCAGGCAGACGTTCGACAACCAAAGGTGTGAACCACAAGAGAGGGAGTAGAATTGCAAGGTGGAGCTGGGTAGAGTACACGTCACTCCGCCCTCAGTAGGTGGACACCAGCTTAGTCCTTTGCGATCTCCATGAGGGGCACACAAAATCTCAGACTGCTGATTCTCCAAATTGGAGTCATACTAGATTGATAAAGAAGAAAAGTACAAGAGAGGATAGCTTCTCTAACCTTTATCAGTGAAGTGTTTTTCTATATCCTTTATCCAAATAAGAAATCATAACAAAGTGGCAAAATTTCTTGAGCATCTCTATAAGTGATGCACGTGTGATCATGTACTCTTTTGAAAATTTGACCTATAAAAATGTGCAAACCCTTTCTCTGGAAAAACGTCTATATAGACATGCACAATAACGTACCATTTGGGGGATTTATGCAACATCCATTTCCAAAGTCCATCCACTCAGTGAAGAATAAAACTAATTTGCTGTTTCACACACGGTCAAAAGGCTCAACTGAAAATAACACTGACAATTTTCACATTGCAAGGTTTAAGTGTGTACTACATCCTTCTAGTGAATTTTTGCTAACAGACATTTCAAGCAGCGATCCAAGTTGCAAATTGAACTATTAATAGTTTAAAATATTTCCTTAACCTCAAATAAAATTAATAATAGTGATAACAGTTCCCCACATGGTTTAGCTTTGCACGTGGTCAGCTGAAAGAGCAAGATGCAACTTACCATCTTCATTCCACAGCTGAGGATATAATGATTATGAGAGCTTAAATGACATGTCCAATATCACACAGCTTGAAAAATGACATACCACATCCAAAATATAAGCTCCCTAATTTCAGGCCAGTTTTTCTTCTCTATTGTGAAATGAAATTATTTTTACAATATCTGATGTGTATTCTGTAAACATGACTTGGTTAATCTTTACAAAGACCTTGGCTAAAGCTAAATCTTACAGAGGGTAAACAGGAGATATTTCTGATTAACTAGTTCAGTGAGGTACCATTCAATTTTAGAGCTGTTAATTGCTGACTTTCAGTGATGTCACCACTGTTAATGTGTTTGGTCTTCAAAAATTCAGAATGATCCAGACCTGTCTGGATAAAGTCAACATTATTCTGCTAATGTTGAAACATCCATGGTCAGTGTTAACTTTTCAGGGGATTGAGAGAATTAAACGTTCTAAATGTGGAATTGCTAAATACAGAAATACAAGTGATTTCTTTTAGGCCACAATAACCACTAATCACATAGAGTAACCAAAGTGAGAGATTTTCAGGAATGGTGTATGAAATTTCACCTTACTTCTTTAAAGCCACACTGTGTGTGTGTGTGTGTGGTGGGGCTTGATTGAGAGACCATGTTACAGTTTATTCCATTTTTTAAAAGCATAATAGCAGCTACACTTGGAACAATGGACAATGCTATGGCCACTTAGCCTATTGGGATCAGGGCTAAGTATGTGTATGTCCAGTTAGTTCTATGGGCCAAATAAGTATATTAGATCACCTGCAAAGGACTCCTATGAAATCCTTAAATTTAAATCTCCTACTATGAATGCTTGATATTTAAATCTTTGTTGTACCTGTTCAGTCGCTAAGCCATGTCCAACTCTTTGCGACCCAATGGACTGCAGCACACCAAGTTTCTCTGTCCTTCACTATCTACCGGAGTTTGCTCACACTCATGTCCATTGGGTCAGTAATGCCATCCAATCGTCTCATCCTCTGTTGCCCCCTTTTTCTCTTGCCTTCAATCTTTCCTAACATCAGGATGTTTACCAATGAGTCACATCAGGTGGCCAAAGTATTGGAGCTTCAGCTTTAGCATCAGTCCTTCCAATGAATATTCAGGGTTGATTTCCTTTAGGATTGACTTATTAAATGTTAATAAGGCTGAAAATTTGAGCCCAATGTAAAGCAATTTATTTGGTGGAGGCCAGGGGACTTATATGCTTGGGGCTCAATGCCAGTAAAAAAAAATGAAACAATTACTGCCAAATTCTACCTGGTATTGTACTCTTACTATATAAAAATATGACAGACATAAATACAAATCATTATGATACGACTGGATTTTATTTATCTTCTTACTAACTATCCATTAGTAGGAGCAGTTATAGTTAGATAAAGGTTTTCAAAGAAATTGCTGCATTTTAGAAATCCCCGATAATTCCAGTGATTTTATTAATCATAAAGAATGGCCTCCTTGCAAGATCTCTATACAAGTTCATCTATTGCAGCATTTTTTGCAATAGTAAAAAACTGGAAACATTCCAAAACTGTTCATGAAGTGATTCAGTAAATCAATTACTGTGCATTTGTACAATGGAAAATTCAAAAACCATTATAAAAAGTAATATGCAAAAACATGCAAGGCATATTATTAAGCAAAAAGCAAGCTGTAAATCAGTATTATAAGATGATCCTCTTTTAACAGTAACACTATATTTGTTAAATTTGACAGGAAAACCTGAAGTGTTTTTTTCTAAGGATGATTTACATAAACATTTCTTTGTAATCTGTATATTCATGTAATGTTCTAGTTTTTCACAATTAGCATGCATTTGTCTTAGAATTATAAAATCCCATTTAAGAACAACCAGAAAATGGGGAGGAATTATGCACTGAACCCGTATTATTATGACCTTGTGAGAATGAACTACTACTCTCATTTACATAGATGGAAAAAATGGATGCAGATGTGTAAAGTGACTTTCCCAAGGTCATAGATAGTGACAGAAACAAACTCAAATTCAGGTGCATCAGGCTCCAAAAGTCTATTCTCTACTCAAAGATTTAAAAACCTCTTGAGATGGTTAGATAGCATCATCGACTCAATGGACATGAGTTTTAGCAAACTCTGGGAGATAATGAAGGACAGGGAAGCCTGGCATGCTGCAGTCTATGGGATCAAGAAGAGCTGGACACAACTGAGTGACTGAACAGCAACAACATACCAGTTCTATACAAACAAGGTTAAAGGAACCCTGAGGTGCTAGTACCTAATAGCTTAGAGAATGATGGAGCATGGGAACAACCAAAGGGGAGAACCAGAGAAAGCGTGTGTGGTAGGGCTGGAGGATGGAAAAATTAGGGGAGCTGAATGTAGTTAGTTATGACACAGAACACATAAGGAACAGATGATAGATGGGTAGGGAAGGGACAGGGACAGATCGATAGGGGTTTTTCAGGAAAGGTAGGCAAAGGAAAGATGGTTAAGACCTTTATATGTCAGACTAAAGAGTTTAAATCTTATCTTGAAAATAATGAGGGCATGCTGAAGAATTTTATGCATGTGAGAAGCTGGGGTAGATCTGGATTTGAGAAAGTTAATTTGGAGGATGAATTACAAGTGGAAGAGGGGAAGCTCAAGACAGAAAGATCAGTTAGATGGCTACTGCAACAGTCTGAAGTGTGGTGATGAGACTAGAAGGAGAAAGATTCAAAAGATAAACAAGAGAAAGAACCGTTCAGTTCAGTTCAGTTCAGTCACTCAGTCGTGTCCGACTCTTTGCGACCCCATGGAGAGCAGCATGCCAGGCTTCCCTGTTTGTCACCAACTCCCAGAACTTACTCACACTCATGTCCATCAAGTTGGTGATGCCATCCAACCATCTCATCCTCTGTCATCACCTTCTCCTCCTGCCTTCAATCTTTCCCAACGTAAGGGTCTTTTCAGATGAGTCAGCTCTTCACATCAGGGGGCCAAAGTATTGAAGTTTCAGCTTCAGCATCAGTCCTTCCAATGAATATTCAGGACTGATTTCCTTCAGGACTGACTGGTTTAATTCCCTTGCAGTACAAGGGACTCTCAAGAGTCTTCTCCAACACCACGCTTCAAAAGCATCAATTCTTCGGTGCTCAGATTTCTTTATAGTCCAACACTCACATCCATACATAACATAGCTTTGACTAGATGGAACTTTGTTGGCAAAGTAATGTCTCTGCTTTTTAATATGCTATCTAGGTTGGTCATAGCTTTTCTTCCAAGGAGCAAACTTCTTTTAATTTCATGGCTGCAGTCACCATCTGCAATGATTTTGGAGCACACCAAAAAAGTTTCTCACTGTTTCCATTGTTTTCCCATCTATTTGCCATGAAGTGATGGGACCGGATGCCATGATCTTAGTTTTCTGAATGTTGAGTTTTAAGCCAACTTTTTCATTCTCCTCTTTCACTTTCATCAAGAGGCTCTTCAGTTCTTCTTTGCGTTCTGCCATAAGGGTGGTGTCATCTGCATATCTGAGGTTATTGATATTCCTCCCAGCAATCTTGATTCCAACTTGTGCTTCATCTAGCCCAGCATTTCACATGATGTACTCTGCATATAAGCTAAATAAGCAGGGTGACAATATGCAGCCTTGATGTACTCCTTTCTTGATTTGGAACCAGTCTGTTGTTCCATGTCCAGTTCTAACTGTTGCTTCTTGACCTGTATACAGATTTCTCAGGAGGCAAGTCAGGTGGTCTGGTATTCCCAACTCTTGAAGAATTTTCCACAGTTTATTGTGATCAACACAGTCAAAGGCTTTGGCGTAGTCAATACAGTAGAATTAGATGTTTTTCTGGAACTCTCTTGCTTTTTTAATGATCCAATGGATGTTGGCAATTTGATCTTTGGTTCCTCTGCCTTTTCTAAATCCAATTTGAACGTCTGGAAGTTCACGATTCACATACTTTTGAAGCCTGGCTTGGAGAATTTTGAGCATTACTTTGCTAGCATGTGAGATGAGTGCAATTGTGTGGTAGTTTGAACATTCTTTGGCATTGCCTTTCTTTGGCATTGGAATGAAAACTGACCTTCTCCAGTCTTGTGGCCACTGCTGAGTTTTCCAAATTCGCTGGCATATTGAGTGCAGCACTTTTGCAGCATCTTCTTTTAGGGTCCGAAATAGCTCAACTGGAATTCCATCACCTCTACTAACTTTGTTTGTAGTGATGCTTCCTAAGGTCCACTTGACTTTGCCTTCCAGAATGTTTGGCTCTAGGTGAATGATCACACCATCATGATTATCTGGGTCATGAAGATCTTTTTTGTACAGTTCTTCTGTGTATTCTTGCCACCTCTTCTTAATATCTTCTGCTTCTGTTAGGTCCATACCATTTCTTTCCTTTATTGAGCCCATCTTTGCATGAAATGTTCCCTTGATATCTCTAATTTTCTTGAAGAGAACTCTAGTCTTTCCCATTTTATTGTTTTCCTCTATATCTTTGCACTGATCACTGAGGAAGACTTTCTTATCTCTCCTTGCTATTCTTTGGAACTCTGCATTCAAATGGGTATATCTTTCCTTTTCTTCTTTGCCTTTCCCTTCTCTTCTTTTCTTAAGAGCCGGTATTTAATTGAATGGTCAGGGTCAGGGAGAGAGGGAAATGTTTAGGCTGATCCCCAGATTTCTGGTTTAAGAAACTGGATGCTACTGGTATTGTTTGTTCACTAAGATGAAAGAACAGAAGGATGGAATAACTGATTTGGGACTGCGTAGGAGATGGGGAAGTAAGTGCCACTATGTGGTGATATAGTCTGGATTATGCAAGAGGACATAGCCACAGGACATCAGAAATATGGATTAAAATGTCTTTAGAAGGTCAAAGACATGAGAGGACCAGTGAAGTAGGTGGGCAAGTATAACCTGGAACATGATTAAAAATATATGCTTCCAAACTCTCTCTGGAAATGATCATTCAGTAGGTATTATAAGAATCTGTTTTACAATGCTTTTGATGCCTCACCAGATTTTTACCTTAGCACAACTTCTATGAACACTGCCCAGTGGGTTGACTGCACAAGATGTGTCTCAATGACCCCAAAATTTACCACGTGCCTCAGATACTGAATTTTTCCTTTTTTTAAATATGCTCAATCATATATATTTATATATATTTGAAATCAAGAAAGGTTTTATTCTTTATTTTTGTTATAGAATTTATTTCGTAGAGTTTATATAGTATTTCATTTCAATATGGATATTGCTGTTTTGGGTTAGAGAGAGCAAATCTGTTTAGAAAACTTTACTTATTAAATTTAAAAATTATAAAGCAGGAATTTCTATTTAAATTATTGCTCATTGCCATTAAATTTTCTTATTTCTTGAACCTCCTTTGGAAAGTTTAAATCGTTTGTTGAAAGCTAGAACCTCTTACCTCCAATGTTCTGCATTGTAATGGAAATAAAAGCTCCAATTTTCCCAGGCCATCCAAATGCCTTTTCACCTAGATTTTCATAAATTAAAGACCCTATAATCAGAAATGAAAAGAACCTTGTTAAGAAACTGCTTTGGTGATGAAGATATTTCTATAATATAATTCTGCACTGGCACCTCAAACATGTAAATAAGCAGCATATAGAAATCACAGATCTCAGGTTCAGTCCCTGGGTTAGGAAGATCCCCTGGAGAAGGAACTAGTGGCCTGCTCCAGTATTTTTGCCTGGAAAATTCCATGGACAGAGAAGCCTAGGGGGCTATAGTTCATGGGGTCACAAAGAGTCAGACATGACGGAGTGTGCACACCTAAATGACCTAAGTGACCACCTATAGAAATCATAAACCCCAAATGTGCAATCTCAAAAGCCATTAAAACTATGGCAAATGTTCTCCAAATAAGGAGTGATAGCTTCATTCATCTTGGTTCCATGTAGCAAGTCAGAAATGTTATTTCTATCATCCACCAAAAGTCTTTTTCTCTATTTGGCTTGAACCTGAGCAGGCTGACTTTCACTTTCACTTGATTTTTCACTTGCCTAGATAACTAAAAACATGAAGAGGCCATGTGATTGGGATTAGAAGAAAATTAAATGTAAAATTGATTACAGGTATGGAGCTAGAGACTAAAATGCCTTTAATCAGAATCAAAATGGCGTATCTGGTGTCTAAGGAGTAGCATACCTCCTTCTTTGGCAGTCTTTAATAAAAGATGAACTGAATAAAGAGATAGGACTGCCACGGCAAGCAGCATGATTCTGTGAAGGGAATAGAAAGGAAACAATAAGATTTCTGTAAAAAATAAGACATAATAATACATGGTGTTACAATACATTATTACTTTGGTTTTTTCAATCATTAACTTTCCAAGAGTATGTGGATTTGGGGATGCTGAAAAATTCTTTTTCAGAATGTCACAAATACTCTTTAATGCTTCAGAACTGGAATTGGCTTTATTTTATGGGCCAAAACATACTACTGGAAGTCCCTAACACACCTTTTTCAGTATGTTACTACTACCAGTAGTAGAATCTAGCTTAAAATTTAAATGCTAAAGGTACAGCAAAATTAGCAAATACTATATCTACTTACTCCGTATAAAGGGCATATGTATATGTATATCATATTTGCATGATATTCTCATGAATATTTATAATTGGAGGGCTATTCAATGACCTGACTAAACATCCATCTAAAATCTAGAAACACAGAAGTCAAAGCAAACTCTGAGTTCCATTACTACTGTCTGCGCATTATATGAGAGTGATCAGAGGTGTGAACCAGAGGGTCTGGCAAATGCCTGTATAATAGAAAAAAACAGAAAAAGGTAAGTCTAGGCTGCAGGAAAACCTTTGTTGTACTCAGAAGAGAATCATTTCTGGTTCAGGGCCCTCCAAATGTCCACAGGCATATATGGTTTCTTTATGTATTCAGTGATCAGTGCTTTCCAAAAACAAGAACTGAACATCAAAAATAGAGTGTAGATAGAAGCAATTATATAACAAATTAAGGACCAATAGTAACCTTTACCTGAAACTGAAAAAAAAATCTATCCTTTGCCTGTTTCCTATGATGAGAGCACACTAAACATTTTCCCCACAACTGATCTAATTCTTTGGTAATTCCTGGGGAAGTTAAGTTTGCAAACATAGATTTAGACAATGAGGTACAAATGTTCTAACAATTCTAGCTCTACTGTGCTCTTATTTATCACAAAATATGTTCACCAGAACTGTCTAATCAATGTCATATTCATCTGTTGTTCCATATAGCTTATGAATTGACCTGTTTTTAAGAATTATGCAATTCAGATTATATAATTTTATTCCCTGGAAAAATAATGAGAATACTCTATATTCTAAACGTATACTTGCTTTGGCAGAAAATACTAAAAGTAACACCAATGAAATCCTGTGTCACTTATTGGGAATTAAGGGAGATTGCCGAATCCATTTTGGGCTACTTGGATACACAAAACACATCTCATGATCTCTAACGATTTAATTGCTTTGGCCAAATTAGTCTGCTAAATGTTTACAGGCCTAAAATGAGGCTCTCAGTCTAAAAAGTGGAACATTCTCCTCCCATGAAGATGATCTGTGGCTCTAGAATTGGAGAAAGTATCTCTTACTTCTATTCATCAGTGATCTATGAAAATTTCCTAGTTAATTTTAATGGTATGTGTAATTAGTATAGAGAAGGCAGTTGTTTGTTTCAAAGACAGAATATATTACAAAAGTATACAACTACATATATGACTATACCTCTAGCCATTAAGAATCTGAGAATTTTTTAAAACTATTTTATTTCAAACATGGCTTAGAAAGGTAAAGTTGACATAAAAATCCATTCAGCTAAAGACTATAATCTAACAGTTCAATCAAAGCACTGACACAATATCAATATTTATAGTCCAGCCTGATCCTTAGCCCTCAAATAGCTATGTGGTTACCTAATCATATGTGATGTTTGGAACATAAATAGCATATATTTATAATATAAATGTTACATTCTTAGACAGTTATTTAAGACTCCAGCATTGCATTAGGGATTGTGGTCTACATTCACACTGATGCCTGCCTAACTTTATTCTTGTGAAGTATTTCACGGCTGCCAACTGTGCCTTTGAAAATGTCAGGCTGTACATAATGCACAAATGTCTGTGGCTGTCTGTCACAACATGGCCTTCATCCTCCAGGTCGGCTCTGTGATGCTGCTGCCACCAGGCAGCATTTGACCAAGCTTGGAAAATGTGCATTGGGTTAGGAATAAACTTTGGCCACTCTGCAAAAATTCCTCATGGCAAGCATTGTTACTAGGTCTTGGGGATACAGACAGGAGGTGAATAAAAACAGGGTTGAGCCATCTCCAAAGGCTTGATGCTTTGGAGATGATAGTCTAGCCAGGGAGAGAGCCATTAAACAAATGAATCCAATAACTGCACTAAAATACTAACACTGTGATGAGACCATAAGGTGGTTTGTCCCAGTCATGGAGAATGGGAGAAGGCATAACCAAGGTGAGGCTGAACTGAGTTATGGGGAGTTAACTAGATGTAGAGGAAAGGGAAAAAGGTTCCAAGATCATGTACAAAGGCCCTGTGGTAAGAGGGAATGGCACCTTCAAGGGATGGAGAGCAGGCCACTGTGCCCATTGTATCTGGCATATAGAGCGACAGATGATGGGACTTGAGATGGGATCGAGGCACACAGGACTCTGCAGGTCCAGTTTGAGAGGGGATACTTTTCCCAAGAGTGTGATAAAGTCAGATTTGCTACTGGGAAAGATCTTTTGAACTATTAAACACAAAATTATTTTACAATGAATATCTTTGGACTGGTAGGGCTGTTCTAGCACTTTGGGGGAGCGGGGCTCAAACACACAAACTTTCTGCCATTTGAATAGAGATGGCTGGTTGAACAAGTACCAGGATTAGACTGCTCTGATTATTTCTCATTGCTCTTTTGTTTAAAAAAGAGAGAGAATATGCTAATACTTTCTCAGATGATTCTTATTCACAAAGATCAAATTTTGTTAATTGAAAGAGCACCAGGTATGCACAGGCTTTGAACTGCGTGTAGATATGTCCAGGCACTTACATGAAAAGTATTATCCCTGTGTTGGCCATGGCATAGGACAGGCCCAGGATTCCACTGCCCATGATGGCATTACTCAGGTTGAATGAAGACATTCCAAAGGAAGTGGTCCCAGGATGCTTGAAGAAAAAGGGATGCATGATAAGCAAATACCCACCAAAGGATGAACCTTTTTTGGATTATTCTTATCCTACATTATCTTTTCTGCAAGAGACTACCACCAAAAATGGAAGATTAAAGTAAAATCACAGCAAATAAAACCATGACTCAACTTCAGTAAAAGCATGTAATTTTCAGTGGAATGTGGTACTTGATTTCAGCAGAGGTCTCAGTAAAAATAAAAAATACAGGTTGAGTAATAGAAAGAATGGAAAGCATGTATGACTGCAGATCACATCTGAGTTAGAATGATTTCTCCAAAAAACAAATAAATTTCATAAATGATTTATGCAGCCATATGGCGAACAGGAAAAACAAGCCCTTATTCCAGTAAGGGCCTGAATAAACAGAGAATGTGCTGATCAAGGCTTGGAAAATTTCAGTCACATTGCTTTCCTGCAGAGACCCAGGTAGATCAGACATCCTCAAGTCCTGTTGACTGCCGGAAAGCAGAGAATCACTTACATGTTCATCGTCATAATCTGCCAACTTCTTTTTCCCCAAAAATCCATTTGTCAGGAATTTCTGACTTTCAGCATCTTCATTAGTAAACTGACTGAACATACACACAAAGGAAAAGAAGACAGTAAAAAACATCTAGTAAATGCTCTGATTTATGTTTATGTTTCAGGTGATCTAAGTCACTGAATCAGGGGAAGAAAAACAAGACACTTAAAGCTTTTTTTTTCCTCCTCTTCTCCTCCTCATACTAGTGTTCCTTCCAGACAAAAGGACTGAGCCCTATTTATGAGTATACTTTGGGAGGGAAGGAGAAAGCTCTGAAGGAAGAAAATATTTTTTAGTTGCAATCTCTTGAAAGCCACATTTTCCCTCCCACATTGACTATGCAAAAAATAGAATAATTAGAGCTGAGTTTTGCCATTTCAAGCTCTCCCAAAGACAGCGAAAGAGCAGTGACTGTGTTTTCTCAACTGTTAATACATCATGACCACAGGATCTTATTAATTCAGTAAGTATTTATTAAGTGCTTTGGCACTCTGATCTCATCTCTCTTGGTGCTCAAAAGTCCTCATAAGGGAAACTTCCATGTCTGATGTGAAGCAACTATGGCTCACAAGAGTAAGACAGCGTGTCCAGCCCCACCAGATCCCAAGTCTTGGGTCTCCTATAGCATCATGCAGCCCTAGACAGAGCCCCTAGCTGGCATTTTCCTCTTGTTTGATTCCACATTTTATATGCATATCTCTTGCTGGAAAGGAGTTCAATGGTAGCTCTGGGCTATGTTTGGTTGTGTGCAAGAATGTATATTTTAATTACTCTGAAAATGTACTTGGTTGTGTTAGACAACTAATGAATGAAACTAAGAAAACCTTTTAAAGAAACGCAGTGAATTAGTAGAAGAGTTGAGAGGGCTGTAAGATGCAGGACTAAAGAGCAAGGCTTTAAGACATCACTATCCACACAGAGCAGGGCTTCCGTGATGGCTCAGTCAGTAAAGAATCTGCCTGCAATGCAGGAGACGTGGGTTCGATCCCTGGGTCGGGAAGAGCCCCTGGAAAAGGGCATGGCAACTTCAGTATTCTTGTCGGGAGAATCCCAAGGACTGAGGAGCCTGGCAGGCTACAGTCCATAGGGTTGCAAAGAGTCAGACACGACTGAAGAAGACTGAGCAAGCACAAATCCACAAAACACTGCGACAATGGTCTACTTGGTACAGGCTGGAAGCTGCACATCCCATGACACCACTGGTTGGCGACTGAAGCTGTATGCCAGAGACTTTGAGGATATGAAGCTAGTGCCAGTCACGTTTCTGAATGTTTGACTAATGAGTTCAGCTGCCACCACTGCATTTTGATACTGGAAAATGTCACATAGGCTTTCGATTATAGGAAATAGTCAAATATGCATGCTTTTTAAAAGTGCTTCATTATTAGATAAATTGCAACTTTTAAGGCATTTCTTGCATGAAAGAGTAAGATAAAATGATTGGAGTTTTTTTTAAGTAACCCTTAGAAATAAAAAAGGTAAAATAATTATTACAAATCTGTGCAAACTATCTCTTAGAAGTTAAGCCTGAAAATATCTTATGCGAAAGACAATAAGGCTACTTTTTGAGAACAGAGAACAATATAAAGTGCAGATAGAACTAGACAGATCACGAAGACAAAATCACAAAGTTTCACATGCTTTTCTAAAACCTAGGAAGTGGCTTTTCTTGAACCACCTGGTGTACAAGTTAGGAATATTTCCTGTCATTTTTCTCCTATCTCTTGAAGGAAGAATAATGCACTCAGAGGCTACCTTCCTCCATCTCTGCACTCCTTCCTCCCTTTTGTGCTTTATTTTAATAGTCTGTAGTTAATATACTTGCTACGTGGAGATTGGTACATAATGTTCCTAGCTGGAAACGGAAAAGATAAGATGAAACAGAGCCCCAAATGGGCCTAATGATAATAAAAACAAGGGTGTCATCTAGATTTAAACTCTGGACTACCCAACATTCTATTTTTAACCTTAATCAATAAGCTAGAATCCTTTAGCCCATGAGTAATTTTTAAGTTTTTCTCTTTTGAAGCATTTGCATGTTCTTATTTTGGCATGAGATGAACTGTAGTCATAAAACATGCCAAGATTGTATAAAATACCTGAGAAATGTCCCCAGCGTCTTCAGTGATTTAATATCAAACCCAGCATATATTGAAAACAAAAGTATAATGATTCCAAATAAATGTATTATGTTGAACTACCCCCAAATTTACATTTAAGAGATCAAACCAAACATAAACAAACCCATCTTTTAAAAATGATCATAAAATTGCAAAATAATGACCCACTAGAGTCAGGACTTACAAGCTAAGTCCTTGTAAGCGTTCCAGAACACACTATCTGAAGCTGACAAAAGCGTTCTTGCTCTTTTTGTGCTGGCTTTCAGAGGACCAAATCTAACGACTCTGTAAGACTCTTCTTAGGACCCTGTCCCCTTCAGCTCTGCCACTTCCACAGAGTTCATACCTGTATGCACCCTTCTCAGAAACAAAAGAGCCCTTGGGTTTGATCAACTTCCTGAGTGATGAAGTGGAGGGGAAAAAAAACAAAAGTCCACTAAGAATCATCTATCTCAAAGGCACTCATTTAATCCTCAGCAAAGTAGGTGTTGGTTTGCCATTTTGCATTTTCCACTGAAGCTCAAAGAAAATAAATATCTTCTCCAAAGTCAGATCACTCCTCTGCTGATTCCAAAGCCCGTGGTTCTACCATGTTGTGCCTCCTCAAGAGTAAGTCAGAAAGAGAAAGACAAATATTGTATAAGAACATACATATACATATATATGGGATCTGGGCTTCCCATGTGATACTAGTGGTAAAGAACCTGCCTACCAATGCAGGAGACACAGGAGACCTGGGTTTGATCCCTGGGTCGTGAAGATCCCCTGGAGGAGGGCACAGCAACCCATTCCAGTATTCTTGCCTGGAGAATCCCATGGACAGAGGGACCTGGTGGGCTATAGTCCATAGGGTCACAAAGAGTCAGACACAACTGAAGTGACTTGGTATGCACACACATACGGAATTTAGAAAGATAATACTGATGAGCCTACTTGTAAGACAACAAAGGAGACACAGACATAAAGAAGAGTTTTGGACACAGTGTGGGAAGGAGAGTGTGAGATGAATGGAGAGAGTATCACTGAAGCCTATATATTACCATATATAAAATAGATGGCCAGTGGGAATTTGCTGTGTGACAACCCAGAGGCATGGGATGGGGAGGGAGGTGGGAAGGGTTTCAAGAGGGAGGGGACATATGTATACCCATGGCTGATTCATATTGATGGCAGAAACAACCATGATATTGTAAAGTACCCTCTAATTAAAAATTTTAAAATATATTATGCTGAAAGAAAAAAAGAGCCACCCAACCTACAAAGAGTCGTGTTGACATCTCCATGGCCTCTCTTATCCACCAACACTAATGTTTAGTGGGCTGGCTTCCTGGAGGAAGAAGAGTGCTTCCTCCTGACACACTTCCTGGGTGTTGTGAATGCAATAAGACATCCTGATTTGGGGATAATATTCTCTACTTCAGACCTAGATTTAATTTAAAAAATTCACTTTGGAATAGCTTAAATCAAGAATAATTTGAGTTATATAATATTTTGTGAGAAGTCAATAAACTTATCAAATAAGTGTTGTCAGCTACGCTGTTCCAGGCAGTGCCATTAACCTGTTGTAGGGGCATCATGAATATCTGGGTAGGGAGAAGGTGCAACGCAGGTGATCACTTCTAACTGGGGGATGGCTTCATAGAAGAAGACCCGATATTGAGCTGATTCTTGAAGAAAGAGTGCAGCCAGTAGAGAAAAAGGGCTAAGGTGAGTGGGTAATACTTAAATCAGGGCATTCCAAGCAGACAGAGCAGAGTGAATGAAGGAACAGGAGTTTTGAGTGGCTCAACAAGACTAGAAAACAGCACACAAACAGGGAACGGGGTGAGGGATGGACAGGAGAGCTAGGGGAGGGCTAGATCATGAAAGGCCTCATATGCCAAGCAATGTGTAGTATAATCTTTCTCTCATAGCTACTGAGGAAGCACTGAAAGGATTTACCTTAGGATAGGATACGAGTCAATTTAAAATTGTAAAATATTACTTTTGCAAGAAATCTGAAGGGCTAGATAGAAGAGAGTAAATTGTAAGATGGGGATTAATCAGGGCTGTTCTAGTGGATGAGTGACAGATGATGAGGGACAAAAGCAAGATGGCAATAGAACGGATACAGACAAGTGGGTGGATTTGAAACATTAATGAGGTAGAAGCAACTGGATATAGTCAAACATGGTACATGCAGTTTGGGAGAAGGGATGAGTCAAAGTTGACACCAAAGGCCCTTTGATTGAGTTGCTGAATGATGCTGATGACTTTCACCAAGATGAAATTGTTAGAAGAGGGGAAAATTTTGAAGAGGATGACAAGAGTTCAATATTAGACATCACAAGTGTAACTTAATCAAGGAGGCAATTCAGACACATGAGTCATCCAGTAGAGATGTATAGTAAACAGTTGGATATGATGATCTGAAATTCAGTTGAGAAATTTAACAGGCTGAAGATATGACATATGTTCAGTGGGTGAAGTCATGATGGTTGTGAATAAGCTTGCTCAAAGGACACTTTTAGCCAGAGAAGAATCTCAGCAGAACTCTGGAGATGTAGAAACACTTAACAGAGCAGTCAGAAGAAGAGAAAACTGAGAAAATAACCCAAAAGGTAAGAGAAATGGTATGTTGATTATAATTTAAATTATTCTATAGTATTAATAGGAACAACAACACTGTAACTATAATTTTAAAGTAATCATACAAAGGACTGACATACAATAATGATATAACAATGTGTACTTCAGGATCAGAGAGTTGATGTGTTAACATCAACATCATTGCTATCTCTCAAATAGGTAATAAATCCAGTTCTTCCCAACAAAAATTTTGTTTTCCATGTCCATAAACCTCTCATTTTTCCATGGAGCCTGGTCATTTTAACCCCATACCTGCTCATTGCTGCCTTTTCTAAATTTCCCATCCCGGTGTAGCTATCTTGAATACTTTCTCCACTGATGCTCTCATCATCAGGCTCGATGTTGACATTGCTCAGTTCCATGGGATCCATTTGAGCTGTCAGCGCTTTCTTGTCCACACACAAGCTCCTTCAGTGTAAACAAGATACTGTACCTTCAGCTTGAGGCTCTTCTACTTGGTGTTATGTTCAGAACACTCTGTTCTGCAAACAGAACACAAAATAAATCATTATAAATTTCTTTAAATTAGATAAATAAATCCAAATCACCTACTTGTGTATGTTCTCTGTAAAAACATGAAAAGTAAGTAAATTCCTGGAAAATTCATAAAGTATGTCTCCAAAGTTTCCATTATCCAATACCAAAAAGAAAGAAAGAAAATGAAAGAGAAAATGGAAAATTCTTAATAAATCGCCAAATTAGCTGGTATTTATAGAATGTTTTTTCAATGGCAGGGGCTTTGATAGTCACTGTAGGAAGAAAAAAATAAATCTTAACACATGGTAGCAGTCTTCAAAAAACTTTAGGTATGTTAGAAAATTGTGTTACTTAAATGGGTGACAATGGTAAGCTGTTGAGAGAGATCTGCCAAGGTAGAATCTACCAGTGTCTCCACCAGCAGTAACACAGAAAATCACTGTGTTAATTTTGCTTTAATTTGTTAATGAAAGAATTAACACCATCAAAATACTTGATAACATGCAACACAAGGTAGAGTCAGGCTCAGGGAGCCACTTTTCAGGCACTTGGATCTTGAAACCAAAGTTAAGAACAGTAACAAAAGTAAGTACAAGTTTATCTTTGAATCAGCCTGTCACCACCTATGCAAAGTTGAAATGCATTTTAACAAAAAAAGGATCGAACTTTTAGGCTTTGCTCTGCCTTTAATTCACTGGATCTCAGCACATTTAGCTTTTTTGACCTCATTTTCCTCAATTAAGCGAAAAGGGGTGGACTGGCACTGTGCAAAAAATTGCTATGAATCCTTTAATGTTAATATTCTGAAATTTTTACTATTAGTGTCATTCAATTCCTATTGAGTCAATACATTGGGGAAAATACTATCACTCTTGGAAGGTGTGGCTCTGAAGCATACACTACATTTGGTAAGGAAATTCTGAGCAGAGAAACTAACATAAAAATTGCTCCAGTATGCATGGGATCCATAAATTCCCTGGCAAATAAGAAACAGGTACATGAGAATGACTCCATAAACCCAGTACCACAGCAGCCCATCTGTGGAGGACAACCCTTGATCAAGACGATTTCACACTCCACATCACAAAAGTTGCACATCACAGATGGAAACTGAAGCTCACCAGGGAAGTCAGCAGGCACAAGAAGCAATAATTCACACCTGAGTGACTGCAAGCTGCAAAGTAATTTAGAATGGACTTTATGATAAAAGGAAAAATAAGATGGATTATAAATTTAATATAATAAAAAGTAATAAAAGATTTGAAATAAGAAATAACATCGACAGATTATGAACACAATAGAAGATCAGACTGGTTTGAGAAAAAGACAAAAAGAGGGAGGTGGGAGCGGGGATCAGGATGGGGAACACATGTAAATCCATGGCTGATTCATGTCAATGTATGGCAAAAACCACTACAATATTGTAAAGTAATTAGCCTCCAGCTAATAAAAATAAATGAAAAAAAAGAATTCTAAAAATAAAATATATAATCATATTTTAAAAACTCAGCTGGAGGGAGAGTAATGAAACTGGAAGATAGATTGGTGGAAATCACTCAAATTATAGCACAAAGAAAGAAAAATATGAAGTTAAAAAACATGGGGAAGAAAAACAGAAGTAAAAAGTTAAACGTGTCTGAATAGTTATTCTAATATGAAAGAATTGTGAAATGAGAGACAAAAAGGACAAAGAATTGTTGAGAACTAAAGGAGAGAGTAGTTCTCAGGATTGAAAAAACCCACACAGTACTTCCAACAGGAGGAAGAAAAATTAACATTTTCATTAATAAAAGTCTGTGTAAGTGTATAACATCAAAGATAAAGAGAGAAATCTTAGAAGCACCAGAGAGAAGCATACAATTAAAAGAAAAAATAGAAACTTGTACTGAGTACAAACTTGTCTCAACATCCCACAGTATCAGTTTCACTTGCCAGTAGCAATCACTAATGACAGTTACTGTTTTTACTTCTTCATTTAAAGTTAGTCATTCTAAATCTAAACTATTCACTAAAACCTCTCCGACTTGGTTTATCAATTCTAAACTGACACTTAGGAAAGATAACGAAATTAACATACTTCTTTCTATACTCCTAATTGCTTCTTCCACACTCCTAATTGTTTCAGCTCATGAAATATTTCTACAATACTGAGATTCACGATAATGTCATCTATTGTATAAAACAAATATCTCATAATTTACCTAAATAATCAACAACACTGCTGTGCTGTAATTTACATTACAATTGTGTAAACAGTATGCCCAAAGAACCAAGTGGTATATTTGACTACATAATAAAGGCAATATAATCCTATACTACTAAAATTTTTGCTTCCCAGGTGACACTAGTGGTGAAGAACCTGCCTGCCAGTACAGGAGACATAAGAGACATAGGTTCAATCCCTAGATTGGGAAGATGCCCTGGAGGAGAGCATGGCAACCCACTTCAGTATTCTTGCCTGGAGAATACTGTAGGCCTGGTGGCCTACAATCCATGGGCTCGCAAAGAGTCACAACTGAAATGATTTAGCAGGCATGCACTAAAATGTTGGAAGCAAAATTATCCACACTCTTTTCCTTTCTGAAGGGCTTCCTCCTCCCTCTTCTGGGTCTTATTCAGCTGCTCCTGTTTCTTGAATGCCATGCTATCCCCTTTCTTCAATTCATTTTGCATTGTGCTGAAATACTCCCTTGAATAAATTTTTCACACAATAGATCAATAGAATTTCTGAGTTGTTTCATGTTGGAAAGTGTCTTTACTTTATTCTCAAACTTTTTTGATTGCTTGAATTCTAGATTCAAAATCATTTTCCTTTACAAGGTTGAAAATCTTTGTCTCTTGACTTCCAGCTTCCTCTGATGAATCATTATCATCTCTTTGATTTTTTTTTTTTCCCTTTCTGGAAGGTTTTAGAATTTTCCTCCTTAACAAAATCTGAAATTTCTCCAGGATGTAACTAGATAGGAGTAGTTTTAAAAATTTATCTTAATCCACACGTGGAAAGCCCATTCATTCAAGAGATTTGTATCCTTCTTCTGATAAAAATATTCTACCATTTTAAAATGTTTCCCTTCCTTTGAAACTTGTATTAGTCATGTACTGGCCCTTTTTATCTCTATTGCCAAGATTTTCTCTTTATTTCCCATCTCTTTGTTACTCAATGTTCAGGGATAGTTCCTTAATTTCCAGAATAACAAATTTGATTTGCAGCTGTGTAACATTGTGATATAATAATACATATACGTTTGGTCTTCCATCCCGTTTCTGGCGCAAAGCTCCAAATGTAATTACATAACTAATATTTGGGTTTTGTACCCAATTCATGAGATAGTTCTGAAATGATAAAGATGTTTTTGTTATTGTTGCTGTTGTTGTTTTTCATAGCAAGACCCTTGTAACCACACCTGAGTTTATGATAATGAAGTGGCTTTTGTATGGCCCTTGGGATGGAGGCTGGTTGCTAGGGAGACCAACCAATTGATTAGAGAGCTGGAACTTCCAACCCTACTTCCAATCAACTGAGAGAGGGTGTGGGCTGAGTCAATAACATACAGCCAATTATTTAGTCATGTCTAGATATTAAGCTTCATAAAACACCCTAACTGAAGGGGTTTGAAGACCTCCTGGAGTGGTTATCATATAGAGATGCTGAGAGAGTGGTCCACAAGAAGAGGGTGTGAAAGTTCTGAGCCCCTTTCTTCATACTCTGTCCTCTGGGGCTCTGCCATCTGGCAGTCCCTGAATTATATCCTTTTATAACAAACCAGTAATCTAGTAAGCAAACTGTCTTCCTGAGTTCTGCGAGTGATTCTAGGAAATGATTAAATCTCATTTATAGCTGACTGGTCAGAAGTACAGGAGGTCTGAACTTGCCATTGCATCTGAAGTGGAGGCAGTCTTGTGGGACTGAGCCCTTAATATGTGGGATCTGATGCTAACTCCAGGAAACAGTGCCAGAATTGATTAAATTGTAGGACTCCCTGCTGGTGTGGGAGAATTGGCTGGTATGGGGAAAAACTCACGCTTTTGGTACCAGAAGAAAGTATTGGGGGTAAGGTAGAAAACCATTGTTTACGTTTAAGCTATACCCTTTTCTTGTTCAACCTGCCAGCTAATTATTTTTCACAATCACGTTTTTAATTTCTGATCATTTGTTTATTCTCTTCTTTTTTCATACCATCTCTTTTGTTTGTTTTACAGATGCAGTATTTACACAAACCTTTCTAAGGCTATTGATTTCAAGTTTCCAAAAGCTCTTGTTGCTCCCTAAATTATCTATTTTTTCCTGGAGTTATTCTGTTTGTTCATCTTGGCTCTTCTCTTCCATTTGCCTGGCTTTCCTGAAATTCTTACTGATCCTAGGTTGTCTGTTCATATTTATGAATGAAGAGTATATTGGTTAACTTAGAAAGCTAGTAGTTGGGGTTTCTCTGAAATATTACAGGCTCATTCCACTGATGGATTGCTCCCTTGTAGGTCCCCTGTTGCGGCTTCCCTGCTGGCTCAGTGTTAAAGAATCTGCCTGCAAATGCAGGAGTTGCAGGTTTGATCTCTGGGTGGAGAAGATCCCCTAGAGAAGGGAATGCCTGGGAAATCTCATGAACAGAGGAGCCTGGCAGGCTGCAGTCCACAGGGTTGCAAGAGTTGGACACAACTTAGTGACTAAACAGCAAACAACAGGTCCGGGGTAAGTGGCGTCTATGCAGCCAGTCTATCTGCAGAGCATTGCAGGACTCCATTCCCAGACATAGCTGGCACTGTAGGTAGCACACACTGTAGGTAGCTGGCACAATGATGTGTTTTCCTCTTGATGGAGCTTCCATTTTGCTTGTTATCTCTCTGTGCCTGCTGTGGAGGTCTTAATATCTATTATAGAGTCCATTCTTAGGCTCTC